GAGAGAGAGAGAGAAGATTTGTTGGGTTTATAAGAGTCTAAGAGAGAAACAATTTTATTGAATGGATATTTCAATTAGAGTGTGGTGTTCTTGTTTAATAGAAGAGAGAGAGATGGTTTTGCAGAGATAAAATGTGAGAAATATGATTTATTAAATGGATGTTTAAAATTTAAACAAAGGGTAATTTTTGTCAAAAGTTGTTTCAAAGAGGGTTCAAGTTGTTTGTGGTGTTGGAAATGTATCAAGCATTTTTTTTTCCCAGAAATTTATTTATCAATAATAGTATATAAGTCATATTGAAGTATATGTGAAATCTCACGTGGTTAACAGAAGGCAATGCCATATACTTGGATTAATTTTTTTAGCTTTAATAGGATGTTGCACCGGAGGGAAAACCTAATGGTGTGTTTTGATTCATTGTAAGAATTTGTTTTTATATTATGAATATACAAAGTTTATTAGATTTCTAAATATCTTTTTATCAAATGGTGAAAATGCTTTGATAACATATTATTATGTGAGTCGTTAGTAGGACTAATTACATGTTTAGCTCATTACATAGGGTTAATAGTTTGGTGACAACTTGTTAATTCTAATTAGTTGCATTTAAGGAGTTAAGGCAGGAGTTACATTTGGATTTCAACTCATATAGATCATGAATGTGAAAGTTACAAAATATACGTGATCTCTATGAAAGAAGGTTAACCCCTCTAGAACAGATAGAGAAAATGATAGAAAAAGTGAGATAGAAGTTGAATGAAATTCACCAAACATGACTATCAAGGTTGACTATCACCGGATGACTTGGTCTATGGGATTTGGTGTGGAATTTTAAGTCCTTCATGTGATTTAATGACATATCCGAGTAAGTTATTTATCAATTTTATTTATTTATTGTTTTTTTTATTGGGATTAAGAATGTGGTACTTTTATTTAAAGAGAGAGAGAAAGGTAGATGATTATATTTGTAAGGTTTGCAAGGTTTATGTGCTTATTACATGAATGCTTATTATGTTTCTACATTCTTTCCATTGCATTTTTACATGATTATTATACAATCACTTATTCTATCAACACGTGCAACACATTTAAACCAATAGCCAAACTGGGTACGTAGTCACTGACCAGTTTTTATATTAATTGTTGCTGATTTGGTCACCATCACTACTGAGATGGTCCACATCAAGCATACGGTTACCAAATTGATTTGAACACTTGGAGCTTTGTCTTTGACAATAGTCTCTTTATCTTTGGTTATGGCTCCCCTATTATGGTTTACCATTGGAGAGTATGTCGAAGTTTCCAAAGCGGTTCTAGCATCTAATTCTAGTTTTTGGGTTGGATCACGGGCCTCTTTTGCAGTTGGGTTGTCTTGTATTTCTGGTCTAGCCATAAGTTTATTTGGGTTTGTCGCATGGAAGGCTGTTTCAACAACTGCTTTTACAGTTACTGGCGTTGTGAATACTAAATAAGTTTTTCACGGTTGCTATTAATGTGTTGGTTTGGGATCAACATGCTAATCCCTTTGTCTTATTTTCTTGCTTTTTACCATTTTGGGAAGTGTTTTCTATCAGCAATCAGTAACTAATGCCCCCATCTCATCTTGGGTCCACAAGGGTGAAGCAATCAATTGGTATGGATGGTGATTCTTTGAGCATTGATCAAGGAAAGGGACAATTGGGCAAATTTTCCTGATTTTATGGGGCGAGGATGATTTTTGGGGTAGGAAATTTTCACTATTTAAGGAAGGTAGTGCTCAAGATAACAAAATTTTGAATTTTTTATTAAACAATTATTCATGTGAGATAGAGAGATTTCATCAAATGCTCCCTAAAAACATGTAAAAAGAGTTCAATTTGCAGGAAGGTTTATCCATAAGTTTATTTGGGTTCGCCGCTTAGAAGGCTGTTTCAACAACTGCTTTTACAGTTATTGGTGTCGTGAATACTAAATAAGTTTGTCACAGTTGCTATTAATGTGTTGGTTTGGGATCAACATGCTAATCCCTTTGTCTTATTTTCTTGCTTTTTAGCATTTTGGGAAGTGTTTTGTATCAGCAATCAGTAACTAAGGCTCGCCCATCTCATCTCGGGTCCACAAGGGTGAAGCAATCAGTTGGTATGGATGGTGATTCTTTGAGCATTGATCAAGGAAAGGGACAATTGGGCAAATTTTCCTGATTTTATACGGCGAGGATGATATTTGGGGTAGGAAATTTTTGCTATTTGAGGAAGGTAGTGCTCAAGATAACAAAATTTTGAATTTTTTATTGAACAATTATTCATGTGAGATAGAGAGATTCCATCAAATGCTCCATAAAAATATGTAAAAAGAGTTCAATTTGCAGGAGTTCAACAATTTATCGGGAATTATAATGAAATTCTTCTTCTCCAAAATGTGTAAAAGAACATAGAAACAATAATTGGATAAGATCTAAGCAAATTAAGCACCATTCTCTCTTAAAATAAATCAACACAATTCAGATAAGGAAAACGGGAAAGCAAAAGAGAAGTCTTATAAAATTTCAAAACTCATAAACAAAAAATGCTCAAGAAAGCTCATTCAAATAAAACCAGATCAATTCATGGAAAAATTATGGCTCTTGGATTAGAGAGAGAAAGGTTTAGGGGAGAGAGGGCAAGGGGGAGAGAGAGACAAATGGAGTATGCCACACCGAGAGAGGAGGGAAAAGAATAAAAGCACAGAGAGGGTGAGGAAGAGAACTTGTCGCATCATTTTAAATTTTGTTTGGGACAAAAATATATCAGAAAATAGAATCAAATGGATTCAAAAGGTTAGAAGATAGATTTATTTGAAAAATAATGCGACTAGAAACTTTTTAAATTTGTAGATCTACTGGAAAATGGTAATGGTCAATTCTAACAAAGTAAAAATCTAAAAACCCATCGACATAGGAAACATACAATTACATTATTGCCTTTTATCTCTCTCCCGATTGAAAACCTCATATGTCCCTCTCTCGAACATTTTCAGCCCTCTCTCTCCCTAAAGATAATTATCTGTTGCGATGGTTTTCTGCTCAAGAAATTTCGGGGGAAATGTTTGTGGCTACATTAGATGGATGAAAGAAAGAGATGCTTATTCAAGGAAGATAAATTAGCAGAGGTTTAGTTTCTCCTATTTATCTCTTCAAGATGGAGAAGGAAAAAAGGAGAGTCAACACAAAATTAATAGTGGTTTGAGTTTTTCCTTCTCCCTTACATTAATGGTACAAAGAAAGGGATAGAAGACACAAGGCTGGGTGGCTGGTCTTCTTACCTGCAAATGCTTGAATAGAAGGACCACCTATGCAAAATGATGCGAAGAAAAAGCCGTCTTCTGTAAAAACAGGGTACAACACCTAAGTTTTCATATTGTGTGGATGGTGAGAGGGGTGGTTCGTCTCTCTTGTTGGTGTATGGGTGGATTTTGTAGAGAGAGATACATGAGTTTTTTGATATGGCTCTCGAGAGAGATAAATTGTTTAGCATAGATTTAGAGAGATTCGAGGGGGATTCTAGTTTTGCATAGAGGGATTGTATGCGAGGGAGAGGGCTTTGGAGTGTGGCGGATTTTAAATAGTTGGAAAAAATCTATGATGGTGATGATAAAAAAAAGAAAAAAGAATAAACATGCAGTTCCGTAAAAAAAAAAAAAAAATATAATAAAGTCTTATAAACTATAACATAAATTCCCATGAACATAAAAAATGAAATAATATTAGAAAATATCTCATGAAGAAACCACACAAAACTTAAAAACATAAGAAATTATTTCCCTTTTTTGCAAATGGAATGATGAGATGGGTCTTTGTTGTTTATATATGGGATTGCAACATTAGAGATGGTAAACACCCCCTTTTAGCCCGGTAATATTTTTTTCAATAATATTTATTAATATTTGTCCAAAAAAAAAAGCCTGAGGCCATAACAGTATATACGATTGTGTCCTCCTATATAAGAGGACGGTGCCTTAAGTGATGCCGGCACAACGCGTCGCAACAAATGGCTCTCCTGTCTCCCAAAGCCCCTCTCCTCTTCTACAACCCTAGCCATTTCAAACTTTGCCCCTCAAACGTCCCCAAAATTTCAATCCTGCCCTCCAAACCCCTCTTTCGCCACCTCCATTGCTCTTCTTCCTCCGAAAAAGCGGACAATTTATTCTCTGCAAATTCCTTCAGCCGTAAAAACCTAAAAAAGAAATTCAAGGAAACCCTAGAAAACACAGTCGATGACACGAAGAAGGCGTTCGAAACCCTTGAAGACGAAGTCGATGGCTCAAAATCTGCCTTCAAGGAAACCATGAAAGACGCTGTGGATGAAACCCTAGAAATTGCCAAAGAAGTAGAAAACACAATTTTTGGTGAATCGGGGGAGAAAAAGTCAGATGATGAACCGGTGGTTATCAAAAACACAGTCGATGACACGAAGAAGGTGTTCGAAACCTTTGAAGACAAAGTCGATGGCTCAAATTCTGCCTTAAAGGAAACCCTGAAAGACACCGTGGACGAAAATCTAGAAACTGCCAAAGAAGTAGAAACCATAAATTTTGGTGAATCAGGGGAGAAGAAGTTAGATGATGAATTTGCGGTTACCACGTTGCCGGGCTCTTTGCCGGAAATTTCACCAGGAAATGGCGGAGTGGTTACCACATTGCCGGGCATTTTGCCGGAAATTTCACTGGGAAATGGCGGAGCTAAGTCTCCTCGTACTGAGATAGGGTATGTTGAAGTTTCAGCGGACAAATCGAGGTTTGATGAGATTGAGGGCTTGAAGAGGTGTTTAGTTGATAGCTTTTACGGGACTGAGTTAGGGTTGAGGGCTACGTCTGAAACTAGGGCTGAGATTGTGGAGTTGGTTAATCAATTAGAGGCTTTGAATCCAACATCGGCACCAACCGAGTCTCTGTCGCTTTTAGATGGGAATTGGGTTTTACGGTAAGTTTTCAAACTGTTATCTGTGTTTTCTTTAGTGGATGCAGTGTATTTCTGTAAATTCTTCAATATCTTGAAATTTTTTCTTTTTTTGAACGGTTACTTCCATTGCTCTTTTAGACTACAATTTTTTTTTTTTTGGAGGTTTTAACTCCATCTAGAGTTTAGTATTTTTTATTTTGTGAATTGGCATTGTTTTGGATCGTACACTGTAGAAGAGTGGCTAGAATCATCTATTTTGAGATGGTAGCTAGCATACACACTTACATATGCGTCTCTCCCATCTCTCTAAGTAAGGTATCCAGTTGAATGTGATGTGAATCTTCTAACACCTCTGATTACTGCAATTTTTATTTAATGTCCTTAAATTCTTCCATGTTTATAATATTAACTTCCCAAATATCCAAAATGCATCTCTAAATCTCCATTTTGAGATGATAATGCTTAGAAAGTGTCCTTTTAGTCCATTTGTTTACCATATTTAGTGCAAAAGGTTTTTGGGGAGTCTGCCCATCATGTATCCACCCTGCTTTTCAAGGGCTTCAGGACACATCCTAAATTACTGCAAATCCATTTCGGCCTCAGATCCATTAATTTGGAGCTCAAAAAAATAGTGTATATCTGATGCTCTTTGGAGAATTGAGATGAATACAAGATAGACCAATTTTAAGTTTCAAAATTCAATTTTTTTTTCTCAGATTCATAAACCTGATGGTTGAGATGACAAGCCTGTTAAATTTTGGACCCAAAATCCAAATCCATCTTCAAGATGAAGTTTTTAAAGTGGATGCACTAGTTTTTGCGATCCTTGGACACACCAAACCCTACCCTATTTAATGTTCGCTGTGGGTTTTATTTCTCTTTCTTTAGAAGATGAGCTTTACTACAATTACTTGAATTTATATTATTGTTTCCTTAATTATTGCTCCAAGTGATTTTTAAGAAAGCCACACATCCAAACATCTTTCTATCATTTTGTATTATTGTCATTCTAATTTTTGTTTCGCTTATATGGAAAATGATATATTCATTTATATCAAACAAGCAATGTCTAAAACTTGCAAGGGAAGGGAAATAGGCAATATAACATGACATTTAAAGTTGTAGAAAAGTCTCATAAATTGAAGTCTTTGTCAGCTAGGCTCCTTCTTAGCTAGATTATCACCTAAGGAGGGTGACTCTAATGTTTTTCATTGTGGAAGTTTGAGTTACATATTTCCAATTGAATATGGCTGCATCATTAGCAAATTGCATTGGAGCACTCTATGACAAGGACCTCATAACATCCCCTCCCCGCTTCTTTCTTTTTTTGATGATTGCCTGATGTTCTCCATGTTAAGCCCCTTAGTGTCCAATGATTGCACTTTTATAATGTACATATCATGATGTGTTTCATAGCAAAAATATAAAGAGTTTTAAGTGGAGATTACATCATTGTGAAGGAGCATGCTTTGGAAGAATTGGGGCTTGGGTAGTATGAACTTTGGGTGGGGTGAAACAGAACTTATGGGTGGATGCAACTGTAGTTCCTTGTTGATTAAATGGGGGAACTTATAAATGTGATGGCGTTATATTTTTTTAAGTGAAGAAATTGGAATTGAACAAGATCTAAGAGGGACATATGGGTATTGAACAAGATCTAAAAGGGACATATGGGTTGAGTTCCCTCATGGATGTTTGGGTTTATCGCCAAAATGGTTTACAATTAGATGTTAAAAGGACATGTTCATAAAAAAAGAGAAGCAAATGTTGCAAATTAACTATTTGGGGGGGGGGGTGATGGCGTAATATTTCAGATATCAAATATGCAAACATTAAGTATTTCCGTAATGACAGAAAAAAAGGGTAAACAAAGTGTGTATTTTTCTAAATTGCCAATGTTCTGTCCTTCGCTTTTCAACATGTGGCAAGAACCGTGGACACATGTCGATTTATAGGTTATAACAAACAAGGGCATACAAAGATAGAAGGATTACTTGGATTGGGTTTGGGGGGAAGCACAGAGAAGGAGGAGATGAATTGAATATGCAAAAATGGAGTTTGGGGTGGTTTCTAAAGAGGTGAACCATTAACATATGATTCTCATCTGCAGGCCATGGTGGAGCCATTTGAGGTTGAATGATGTGAGTGCTGCCATGGTAGGTGGAAAGGGTGGTGGTGGTTCAAGGGATGAGCATCTTGGGTGGTCACACTGCCACAAATGAGAATGTAATGCCTCAATTGAAATTGTTACGCATTGATGGGTGGTTGTAGAATCAAATCGGATGTTGTTGGGATGGTTCAAGAGGCTTAAGTGATGGGTATATTAGATAGATAGGAAATTTGCCATGGCATGGGGCTTTCAGCAACGATGGAGGCTCATAATAGGTATTAGAGAAAGTTGATGACATATGATAGATGGTGTCTGGGAAGTAGGTTTTTATTTTGATGTGCTACACTTATGTAGATAAAGTAAGATGATTTAGAATTGGTGCAATGTGATGTAAATTGAATTATGTCTTTAGTGCAATGTGATGTAAATTGAATTATGTTTTTAGTTTCATCTTCTACAACTTTTACTTGTCTTTTTCTCCCTCACAATTTTCCCTTTCAATATGGGACTTAGGGAACATGGATGGATCTACACGAGTATAGTAGTTTGATGGGCTTAGTAAAATATGGGATAGAAGGGTTTTAGGCAGGATAGAAGGGTTTTAGGCATGTTACAAGGGTCTAAGCAATCTAACTGGATATTGTGAAGTTCTAAAGGGTAGGAAAAGGCTAGGTTATGCATTGTGAGGCGATAAAATTAGGGTAGAATGGGGGACTTGGATAGGGGATTTATTTGAGCTTGATGTTGCTAGAAATCTCAGTTCAGCAAAGGAAGAGGATGTATTCGGTGGAAGAAGAAGGTTGGAGTTTAGTTTAAGGTTTTGAGTTTGGAATTGGATGTTAGGAATTAAGTTAAATAGGTTTAAGGCTTATTTAGGGTTTGATCTCGAGGATTTAAAAGTGAGAGATTTGCTGGAGTTAGCAGATGAACAAGTTCATGGCACTAATAGATAAATGGCAGGAATTTGAGGGTTCGATTGGGGTACTTAGGTGTATGGTTATGTTTGGCTTGGTCTTGAAGATAGGTATTGGTGAAGTTTGGCTATTCTACTTTTGGTGAAGGTGATGAAACTTGTAGAAGATGGCAAACTGATTGGATGTAAAGAGGCTGACATGAGATGTGTTGAATAAACAAGGGTTCTTGGAATTGGCATGCAAGCTTTTATTGAAGAAGGGATTGGTGGAGGTTGGGTGAAAAGAAGAAGATAGCGTGGTTGTATGGAGACGGAAAAAAAAGGAAAGGCTGTGGCTCAACGGAATGACTCTTCTAAGACTAAGCTAGAGTTGTAGAATGAAACTCTCTATGAAAAAGAGTTGTGATTCTCTCCTCTTGAGGTGGCTTCTCACCATAATTGGAAAACCAAAATTTTATTACTAAACTTTGATAAAATTTCTCTTGGTTATACACTTTTATTTCTAGAGGGTTTTCTTTGAAACTGTTTAACAGTTTAACTATTCCAACTTTCATAAATTCTCTAAACTTAAGCTTCTTCCATCATTAGGCTACTAGCTCCTTTATAGTTCAAGGCCTCCACAAAAGATGGAAGGGCCCTCTTCCAGAATACCTCACTATGCAGGAAATTTCTTGGATTGTAAAATATGAAAAGAGAAACTTATTTAGAATTAAAAGACAATGAAACTTACTGAATTACAAAACCCTCTACCGTTGAGAACGTTTGAACGCTAAGGTTATGGGAGGGCTTGGGCTCACCTTGAAGTTTTCACACGCCACCTCATTTTGGTGGTCCTTGATGGCCCATAATCATTCTTCCTTGCCTACTAAGAACTCGACTCCAGCTAGTGGATCTCCATGTATAGCTTTATAAATCTGGAGTGAATGATTAGAAGTTAGGCGATAATTTATGCGCATTGAAAGTTTGATTCCTATCCACTTGACTAGGGACTTTTGATGGTCTCCTTATTGGGTTGAAACAACCTGGTCGTTCACGTTTTTCGTCTCCCTCACATGAGGGAGTCTTCTCTTTGATTTCTCAATGCTCACATCCTCATCATACTCAAATATGGATAGTTGTATTCCTTGTTAAAAATGGGGTTGATATGGGGGAGATGCTATTGCTATAATAGATGGCACCATATCCACAATGCTTGAGGATCTTGTAGGGCCCCACCCTTCTCTGGCGCATTTTGTGATAAGACCCAGAGGGAATCTTCCTTTCTCCCTTGAGAAACACCATATCTCATTGGGACACGATATTGGCATAAATGGAGTTCTGTCTCGATTTTCTATTTCTCGATGCACAAAGCAATGGTTCTATGGATGCGATGATTGATGCTACACATGTATGCTTCAAAGTCTTAGCATCCTCACGGACTCGGTTAGTCATGGGTAAAGGAAGGGGATCTCAAAACATGAGCTTCCTTGGTTTATTTCAAAAAACTATTAGATGCAGATTCATCTTTTGGAAGAATCAAGTCCCATACCATTATCCTCTATCTAACTTGGCATTTTAGAAGATTCAAGCTTTTGATGACTAATTTGGCCATCTGTTTAAGGATGATAGGCACTTGAAAATTTTAGTCCTGCACATCTTGGTGAACCATGTAGCCGCACTGTTTCTCTGAAGAAGAGATTTGTAACATAAGAGGCATCATGGATCTTCTTTCATGGTATAAATTGTGCTATCTTTGAAAATTTGTTACCCCGACACTTCGAATGTAGGCTGGTGTTGTATGTTGACATGTGTCAACATTCAACATTTGTTGACACTTGACCCCGACACTTGACCATACGTGTTGGGTGATGCTGCTACTTTTTGGTGTTGTATTGACACTTATAAAAGAAGTGTCTTGTATAATAATTTGCATTTTAATGTCATAAAATGTTTAGAGCTCTACGTGGTAGAGATTTTATTTTGTAGTTGGCAAGGGATTCTAACTTGTGGTGTCTTTTT